CACCTTACACTAAAATTAACTCCAGATGGATTAAAGACTTAAGCTTAAGACCTAACACCATAAAAACCCTAGAAGAAAATCTAGGCAAAACCATTCAGGACATAGGCATAGGTAAGGACTTCATGACCAAAACACCAAAAGCATTGGCAACAAAAGCCAAAATAGACAAATGGGACCTAATCAAACTCCACAGCTTCTGCACTGCAAAAGAAACAGTAATTAGAGTGAATCAGCAACCAACAGAATGGAAAAAAAATTTTTGCAGTCTACCCATCTGACAAAGGGCTGATATCCAGAATTTACAAAGAACTAAAACAGATATACAAGAAAAAAACAAGCCCATTCAAAAACGGGCAAAGGATATGAACAGATGAACAGACACTTTACAAAAGAAGACATACATGAGGCCAAAAAACATATGATAGAATGGGTAAATTTTTTAGAAGCTGACATCAAATGCTAATGAGAATGTGGGTATGTAGCAATGACAACGTTCATTCATTGATGATGGAAATGCAAAATGATCCAGCCACTTTGGAAAACAGTTTTAAAGTTTATTACAAAGCTAAACGTAGTCTTATTGTTACAAGATCTTTGGGGTATCTCTTTTCTGACTGGAAACCTTTGACCAGTGGTGCCTTTGCCCAAGTTTTCCTCAGGCCCACTGGGCTCACTCTGCCCACTCGGCCCACTCTGCCCACTCGGCCTGGCAGGCTGCACTTGGTTCACACTATCAGCCTGTATCCCATGCCTCCAAGGGAGACTATGAGTCAGGCATGAAGCAGCAAGGGATGTGTGAGCAAGTGTGGGGTCCAGCACTGCACAGTAAGACATGCCGGCTGCTGCTGTGGGGTGAGCAGCTCCAGGTGCTGGCCTGGGTGCCGGCTCTCTGTGAGACTGTGGCTGAACCAGATGCACCACAAGAAGCTTCCCCAGCTGGCACAAGGGAATGTAGTGGTGCACAGAAGCTTGGAGACCCAGGAATCACAAGGCCCCAAAGAGGAAGTCACAGTCCTAGCTTGGGGAGCACCCTGGTCTGGGATCCCCAAAGGACCACAGCTTTTCTCTCCTTCTCTTTGCCCATGTGGCAAGCAAGGGGCATGTTTCAGCCCTGTTTGTGTTATAGTTCTTTTTAGCTTCACCATTTAGTGGGTCTCAAGTTCTTGTCTTGTGACTAGGAAAAATGAAGTATGCAGACAAGTGGAGGGTGAATGAGATGAAGAGGAGCTTTACTGAGCAATATGGAACAGCTCAGAGGAGAACTGCAGTGCGTAGCTCCTTTCTGCAGCCAGGGGGTCCCCTTGAGTGTTCAGCTCCTAGAAAAGAGAAGAGCCTGGAGTGAGAAGCTCCTCTCTGCAGGCAGGTCATCCCATTGCCTCTGCAGCTCTCAGCAGAGAGGAGGCCCTAGAGGGGGTAGCCTCTCTTAGGCAGGTCATCCCATCATCTCTTCATCTCTCCATCCTCTTCCCAAGTCTGGCCAAGTCCAGGATTTTTATGGGCAGCAGAGGGGAGAAAGTACGTGCTGATTGGTCCATGGGCGGCCATAGGCCAGCACAGAGAAAGGCACCAAAAGTCCCCCTCTGGTTCATGGAACTGTCAGTCCAGCCAAGCAGCTTCAGGCCTTCCCCAGCTTGAAGATGGGGCTTCACCAGGGATCTGGCCCTTTCCACCCAGCAGCTTGTCTGCCTCCCACCACTACTTATGGCACCCAGGCTGTTCGTGCCAAAGGGTGCCTATAGGCCAGCCCTGAGCTGCCCTCAGTGCCTCCTCCTCAGCCTCCCTCCTATGCTCATCAGTGCCCAAAGTAAAGAGGGGGCCAAGGTGACAGGGCCTGGCATTTAAGCACTGCCCCAAGCATACACACACCCAGCTGGGTTGCAACAGCACCTGAGCTTGGCCCCAACCTTACTCTGAGACCAGAGCATAAACTGACAGCAAGGAGAAGCCAACCAGCAGAAGCAGGCACTTCCAGGCCTGCATTGGCAGGGGGTTCCTTCCCAGGCCCCTGAGAGTGCAGAGATGCCTGGATCTGCAGCCACAGTAGACTGACTGTCAGGCTGTTCTTGGTTTGAGGGAGTTCCACCAAGGATCCACCCTGCCTGCCTGCCTGTTTGGCTGCTTCTTTCCTCCTTTCTCACTACCTGTCTCCTTCTGGCTCCCTGGCTCCCTCTAAGACTCCTCCCATCTCCTTCTGGATAAGGCAGTTATTTCAATTTTAATAAGTGAAATATGAAACAGAGAAGCACCATTTCTGCCTCAAGACGCATGTAGAGAGGTGTAGATTCAGGTGAGTTCCTTTACAAACATTTAAATCTTATGTTTTCCTCTAATTTTAATAGCCTGTGTCAGGAGTTCTTAAGCTTTGCTGCACATCAGAACCACCTACAGGGCCAGTAAGTATGCAGATTCCTGAGCTACCTCTGGAAGCTCTGATTCCTTTGCAGTGGGGATGTCCCAAGAAACTGCATTCATTCCCTTCAGAAAAGCTGATCTGGGCAGGGCACAGTGGCTTATGCCTGTAATTCCAGCACTTTGGGAGGCCAAGGCGGGCAGATTACTTGGGTCCAGGAGCTCCAGACCAGTCTGGCAGATTTCTTGAGTCCAGGAGTTCCTCACCTAACATGGTGAGACCCCATCTCTACAAAAAATACCCAAGAAATTAGCTAGGTGTGGTAGCACATGTCTGTAGTACCAGCTACTCAGGAGGCTAAGATGAGAGGATCACTTGAGTAAGGAGGTTGAGATGTTATCATGCCACTGCATTCCAGCATGGGTGACAGGGCGAGACCCTGTCTCAAACAACAAAGAAAAATTGATCTGGGGACCATACTTTGAGTAGACCTGACATATAAATAATATTTTTCTGATGCTAAAGGAAGTAAAGAGGTTTATTTGGCTACACATCTTTATGTAATGCCTTGCTATTACTGGTGGTTGTATAATTTAGAGCTGTCTTTCTCAATCTAAATTATGTTACAGTGCAGAAAGCTAAATTCACTCCCTTAGAGTTGAGGTGGGCCACGGAGGTGGGGAGGGGAGGAGACAACCAGCAAAAGGGAGCCAGGCCGCTGAATGTAACTTGGAAAGGTTGAGACTTGCCATCATTTTCCTTTTTACCAAAGCCTTCCAGGTGCAGAACATGACTGCCTCTGAAATTTTTGAGTAAATGAGTTAATAACCAGCAAAAAACTGATTTTTATAGATGCCCAATATCTCTTTTATTTCTAATTTGCTGAGAATTTGTATGTTGAGCTTTGTCAAATGCTTTTCTGCATTTATCAGAAAAGATCAGATAGATTTGTTTGTATTCTATGAATATGATGACTTAAATTGATTGATATTCATGTATTAAAACAATCTCATATTTCTAGGATAAACTCAATTTTGTTATGTTATACTATTCTTTTGAAATGTATTGCTGAATTTGATCTTTATTAAGATTTTTTTATTTCATTAAGATTTTTCTGTCTTGGCCAGGTGTGGTGGCTCACACCTGTAATCCCAGCACTTTGGGAGGCCGAGGTGGGTGGATGACAAGGTCAGGGGTTTGAGACCAGGCTGACCAATATGGTGAAATC